ATCTATTGAATTTAATCCAAAACCTTGCTTTGACTTTCTTGGGAAGATTTCAATCTTGTTCGCGGGTTCTGTGGCGTTCAACAAAGACAATTATTAAAAAATCAGGAAAACTAATTAGAATATATTGTGAAGATATGGAAAATCATATACAGTGAGGATGTAATCCTGAAAGAAGGATTAATAAAAGAAAATATAAAACATAAAAAATTTAATAAAAAATATATAGAACCTAGAAGAAGATATTACAAAAGAAAAAATATCTCATATGGTCAATAGAAAAATGAAAGTTATAAGAAAAATAAAAGCCAATGTAAATGTTGGAATTGTGGAGAAATATGTCATATAAGTCCTGATTGTGATAAAAAAAATATTACAAAAAGAATATTTGAAAATAAAAGATGAATTAAGTGAAATATCAGATATTGAAGAATATTATAATCAAGAAGTTTATATAAGTGAAACAGAGGATGATGAATCAGAATCTGAATAAGGAAATAGAAGGTAATAATATAAATATAGAAGAATATAAAGGAATAGAAGAATATGGATTAAAAGTTACATTTGATAACAATAAATTTAGAAAATTACAAAAATCATCTTTAGATTTAAAAATAGGAAAATGGGAAGTCTTAGATAAAATTTGGAAAAGAGAATCGATAGCAATAAATGAATATCACAAAATAGAAAAAACTATAGATGTAAGAACAACATAGGACAACATAAATTAAATCTTTTCACAAAAAATATGGTTGAAGAATTATTAACAAATGTTAGTAAAAAAAAAAAAAAGTGAAAAAATCCAATATTTTCATTGAGTAGGAATACAAATAATGTTTAAATCATTATTCAGAGAAGGGATAGACTCATCCTTAATTATAACCTTCCATGATGGAAGAATAATAAATTCAAAAGATTGTCATTTAAGAACAATAAAATAAAATCTGGCATATCAAAAAATAATGTTTACATGTTACCCAAAATATTGTGTATCACTGAAAGATATAAACTTTAATGAAATTTTAGGATTGCATTTTAAACTGCATAGAGATGGTGATCAAATTATGACTATAGAATATAGAGTTTTATACACATTTACCAATTCTAATTATGGAAACATTTATTTCAATAAACCTTATATTGAAATACATAAAGAATGTAAGGATATTAGCAAAATAATAGAATCAAATAAACAAATAAGTTTAAGTCCAAAAGAATATGAATTTAGTATAACAATAAATAAACCTGAAATAACATAATCAAATGATGGTGAATGTTCTAATAATATAACATTTAAGGATGAAAAATTAATCATAAGATCAAAAAGTGTTAGAATACCTAATAAAAACCAGTTAGAAGAATTTAATAATATAAAAGAAGTAAAATTATATAAGAATGCTGGAAATATGAAATAGAATGAGAATATTATAATGGAAGAGAAAATATAAATGGACCAAATATATTAATAGATACAGGAGCTAGTGAATGTCATATAACTTCAATCAGAAATAAAGGATTAATAACTCATAAAATCGATCCATATAGATATGTAAATTTTGATGGACAAATACATATTACAGGTTTGGAAGTCAAGGTACCAATAAATATAGGAGAAATAGATCTTTTAGTACCGTGTTATATAGATAAAAGTATGGATATAAACCCCCATATATTTTTAGGAATGAATTTTCTGAATGGATTAGAAGATTATAGTATAAAAGAGAAGGATTATATATAGTCCATAATGGACAAACTATATTATTTAAAAAGAACTAAATGAATAATCATATAAGCTTTTCATTAACTGTATATATACAAATCACTATTATAGAAACAAATATAACAACATGTGCTTTAATAGACACAGTGAGTGATATATTCATAGACATAGGAAGTGATATAATAATATTTAAAAGTTTTTTTGATAAA